AGTTTGTGTAGGAATATTTGTTGTGTCCATTAAATGTACACTCTTGAATGTATGTGTCGTTTCTGTTTTCTGTCCCTATATGGGCTCTCTGTTCATGTTGATGCCAGATGCAAAATAAAAAGTGCCCCTCCCCCATCCCCTTGAAATCAGGAAGTGACTTATAAATTCTGATACCAAGACGTTTTAGATATGACTGATAACGATTAAATAGACGATATGTTGTGTTTAAGACAGGTCAAGTGCATTGCAGTGCGAGCCATCTGCCCTGAGCCTCTTCCTACTAAACCAAGAGCTAGTCCTTGCACAGTTAAAAAAAAAAACTATGAGTGGATACTAAACACAAAAAACACATTGGTAATTTTATTTAACCTAGTTCCTGTAAAAAAACACCTTATTTGTCTGTTTCCAAAGTGATGTGTAACAAAACACACACATCAGCATAGAAAGCATGGTTGGTTACTGAAATCAAGATGTGTTGATCACGTTGCCTTTCTTTATCTCAATGTGTGTTATAATGTGTTTTAAAGTCTCATCCCTTTGCCTGTGCTTGTTATACCCTGACAGGTAGCAAATGGTGGACAAGTGGAGAACAAAATGAAATTGCCTGTACCGGTATACTTGAGACCTCTGGATCAGAAAGATGCTTCTATGAAGGTACACGAGTCAACAACTTAAAAGCTTTAATACAAGAAGAATACAGTGTATCCTTTTCTTGAATACACCTGACATGTATCTGTCTCTGTTCCCCAGCTGTGGTGCGCTGCGGGGGTCGACTTATCCGGAGCGAGAACGTTACCGGAGCTCGTGAAGCAGACAAAGGGTTCTCAGAGTAGCCTGAACCACTTAGAGCAAGAGAGCAAGGTAAGAGTAGGTGATCCAAGAAAGAGGCATTACATTAGAAAGCTATCTTTCTTACATTTTGATTTAAATTCTGTTGAGTCTATTTGCTGATCTTAGTGTTTGTCTTTAAGGATCCGGAGAAAGGGGAGAAGGAGCTGGTCCTCCAGGACGAGACGTCCAGTCGGGTGTGGGTCTGCACCAGCACCCACTCCTCCACCAAGGTGATGGTGCTGGATGCCAGTCAGCCCTCTGACCTGCTCGACAGCTTCTACGCCTGCAACACACACGTCGTCTGCATAGCCAGCGTTCCAGGTAGGCTGAGTGATTACTTATTTATCTGTTCTGCCTTTTTGTTTTAAACATTTATGATTAAGCCCATTGAGATCAAAATATTTCTTACAACAGAAACCTAGCCAAGGTAGCAGCCATACGAAATCACGTAGATATACAAAAATAACAATAAAACTGAACAATAGCTGTAAGTGGCCTCTCAAGAACAACAAACAAATGCCCTTAAGTTCATATATCAATATAAATGTTTCTAATTGTAGATCTGTTCGTAGATTATTCCCTACTTTTAGGGAAATGCCAACTTTTCCCTCCACTGGTCAAAACTTTATTTGTGTTAGTGTGGGATGGATGATTGGTGATGGGATGGTGATCACTGAATACATAATGTCTCCTCTTCTATCAGCACTGAGTTTTGACTGTGAGGTCCTTTGCGTTTGCAGGTGTGTTGGAGACTGACTATACGGCAGCTGAGGAGGTACCTCAGGACTCGGAGGCTGTCCAGGGTGACAGGGTGTCTCTTGCCGGCAGTGTGGCCAGTGTGGGCTCTGCGGGCAGCGACGGTGCCGTGGCAACAGAGGGGACCACCGCCATCCCGCAGACGGCCAGCGTAGGCGTCTCCGACCAGCCGGCCGAACACAGCGGCATCTCTAGCTCAGGTAATTAAAAACAATGCTTGGGTAAAGAGGGTCCTTCATTGTTTTACTGCTTGCATCCCACACTTTAGGGGGCCAACAGCAACAATGTAAGGATCCACAAGGGGGCAGTATCGCAGTGCTAGTTAAATCAATAGATAAACTTTGGATAATTCACAAACTTCTGATAATATTCAAACTTCCAACTACATTTGAAAATGATAATTCCGTAAAGAATAATGGGATATTGTTCTTTATATTTTGTTACCTTCCTATGCTAGTTGTGTGATGATATTCTATGTATTCTACTTTGTTTTAAATCATTTGTTTTCCCCCAAATACTCTTATTTCATGCTGATATCACAGTTTTATCTCATAGAATATTAATTACTGTGCCTATAGTGCTGAAGATGTAGCCTGTGATTTACTCCTGTGAACTAGCTAAATATACAAATATATTATACCAGTGAGAATTTCTGACTCAAACCTGTATTATTTGTTTGACATCTGATTTACCCGCTATGCCCACAGTTGAGCTGTCCAGAGAGACGAGTCCAGCAGATGACGGCGTTCCCGCTGCAGAAGAGGCAACAGAAGCCACGGAGGCTAACACTGGTGTGGGCGAAGAAGGAGAGGAGGAGCAGGAAGCGGATCAAAACCAGCCGGGTATCTACACCGAGCACGTGTTCACCGACCCACTGGGGGTGGGGCCCACTGACTCCCCCTCTGCCAACTCACAGAGGTGAGCAGCAGCGATCTTGTTGCCAGTCTCGCTCTCTGTCAGACTCAATCATTTATCAGAATCACTTTATTTATGTAATATATAACATATTGTTTATAAGTAAACGTCAAAGTAAAGTGCTTCCTCGTCCAGTGTGACCCCGACATAGTTTTCCTTTATGATTTGAACACTTAAATTATTCTACAGTTCAAACAAAGCCTCAAAAACAGAATCAGCTACATTCCTTAATGATCAACGGGCCTTTAAAGTACTTTATTACTTTCTAATAAGAGTTGATGTGCTTGAATGTCAGTCCATAGCCAATAGTTTTACATTCAATGGTTCATCTCTATTTATTGAATTGGTTCTTACTTGGCCCATACTTATCCCTCTAACTAAGTTTTTGGGGAAAATCAGCCATTGTTATTCTTTCTGTGCTTGCTTACAAACCAAATGAAAAACATATAGTTACATTTTTGTATGAAGTAAAAACACTTGTGCATCTTCTGCCTGCTGATCTAGGGGCTGCGGGTACGACGGGGAATTGTTTCCAGAAGAATCGGAGCCGTCAGACGGGGAAGTCCTGAGGATGAGCAGCGCCCTGCCCACCATGTGGCTGGGAGCTCAGAACGGATGGTGAGCAGCAGAGCAGACACAATAATAATAATAATAATAATGATGCTTTATTTATATAGCACTTTTCATCAACACAGGCAGCTCTAAGTGCTTTACAAAATGACACATCACAAGTTAAAAAGAAACGACAAGAAATTCCCCTCAGATTATTTGTTAAGAACTTTAAAGGTACATGCAGCAAAATATAACATTTGAACAGGTTAACAGACACAAGGAGGTGAAAGGTATGATAATACAAATAAATGAAATACAGATTTCTCTCCGACAGATAAGACACAAGACAACTGAGTCGATGCAACAATACAAAACCCCATAAAACAAAGTGATCATATAGGTACAACAGAAATACAAAAATAATAGAGGGCAGCGGCCAAATATAAGGCAGGCGCTCACACAACAAATATCACGAGTGCTTGTTTTAGTGAACATTAACAGTGCTTTTTTAATATGGGACTGAAGATCGGGCTTGTTTTAGTCCAGTTGTTGTTGTTTTTTTGGCACATGTGTCCATACAGTCATACTTCCAGATCTATTTGTACAATTCAGTTCAATAAACCCACTCGTGAGCCATGGCTGCCCTCTGATCAGCCTTTGGTGTCTCTCTGTCTCTCCCCTCCTCAGTCTGTACGTGCACTCGGCTGTGGCTCGATGGAGGAAGTGTCTCCATGCCATCAAGCTGAAAGACTCCATCCTCGGCATAGTGTGAGTACACGTGTCGTTTTTCAAAGACAAACACAACAAATATAGATTGGTACATACAGGACTAAGTGTGTGAACATGGTGTGTTCCTCTCTCTTTACAGGCACGTTAAAGGGAGAGTCCTGGTGGCTCTGGCTGACGGGACATTAGCAATTTTCCACAGAAGCATCGGTGAGTCTGTGGGTTAGCGCCCTTTGTTTTCACAGACAACATGCAGAAATATGACCATTTGAATATCCTGTAATCTTCTCAGGTTGATATAAATATTAGGGCCGGGATTCGATTAAAAAAATGAGTCTAATTAATCAGAGGCTTTGTAATTAATTAATCAAAATTAATCGCAATTTTAATCACATATAAATATTTGACCTGAGAACAGTGAGAAGCAATTTTTTTCACATGGATTTTAGTATACCATTGAATAATGACTGAATACATAAGCTTAAGCAACAAAACATTGTTTATTTTTTTCAAGGATGTCCTTAACCAAGACAGACAGAAAAGTGCAATTTTTGCCATAAAGTGTAGCAATAGCATATTTAGGAATATAGTACATTTCAGAGATTCAGGTAGCCTATAGGTAGTCAATGCAATCCAGTGAGCCAGGGAGTTGGTTATTTTTTCAGACGTGGACTTAGTTATCCTGGCCCTGAAACCAGTCATCTGGTTGAGTGTGGGTCCTTACTCCCGTACTCTCGAGTCGGGCTAACGTCCACGCTAGCTTCCACGCTAGCTGCTAAATGTTTTGCATTGAGGTGATACTTGAGGCTTGATGTGCTGCGGTGATATGCGAATTCCTTTTTGCATAATTTGCAAACAACCGTGCTCTTATCGACGCTTCCATCCGTCCGTTTTTTAAAACAAAATTTCCCATCCACGTGGCCAACCAAAGCGGTCTCATCAGCTTCTTCGTTCATGTTTGACTATTGTTCACTGTGGTTTATTGTTGTCTGAAGTCATGAACGTTATTTGGTGCTCCAGTATAATCGGTACGCCTGAAACTCATCCAGTGAGAAACGTTCCGCGGTGCAAAAATAAGTGCGATTAAAATGCGTAATTTTTTTACCGCGTTAATTTTTGTGTAATTAATTAATCTTAATTAACGCGTTAAAGTCCCGGCCCTAATAAATATACATGGTTCATATTGTCTCAGTTCATTCTACTATCATTTGGTAAATACTTGTTAAGTTTCAGCAATTTGAAGAAGAGAAATCAGAAGGTTTTTATTTGGTAAAGGAGGTTAAGTCTCAACAATACGATTCATGTTGGAGTGTTAAACCCAAAGTCCAGTAAATATAATCTAAAAATAAATCTGAAAGAGCAGCGCGTCCCAGTTTTGAACGTCAAGGAGGAGAAATGACTTTTATTCCAACGGTTTATCGGCCGAAAAGACAGTGAATGATTTTTGTCTTCTTGACTTTAAAAACTGGCATGTGCTACTCTTTTAAAAAATGTTTTATATATATATCTAAAGAAGTAATTTCACAGTTTTTAAAACAGTATTTACACTTTTGAAGATATTAGGTTTTATCTTCTGATGTTATGCACCAAAGATCATAAAGTATTTGTGTTCCTCCCACGCAGACGGTCAGTGGGATTTAACCAACTACCACCTGTTGGACCTGGGCCGGCCTCACCACTCTATCCGCTGCATGACGGTGGTCTACGACAAGGTGTGGTGCGGCTACAGGAACAAGATCTACATCATCCAGCCCAAGGCCATGAGGATAGAGGTACAGCTGTCAATATATGACTTAAATCTCACTCGAAACAGAATATTGTGTTGCGTTAATTTCATCTAAAATATGTTTTATAGTGACATAAATCCAATCCTACAATATTATAACGACACATTCTCATCCCGTGGTGTCTGAGCAGAAGTCGTTTGACGCCCATCCTCGTAAGGAGAGTCAGGTGCGGCAGCTGGCCTGGGTGGGGGACGGTATCTGGGTGTCCATCCGACTGGATTCAACGCTACGCTTGTTTCACGCCCACACCTACCAGCACCTCCAGGACGTGGACATCGAGCCCTACGTCAGCAAGATGTTGGGTACGCACATTTTATTCTCCTTACCAGAGGTGGGAAGTAGTGGAGTACAAATACTTCGTTACTGTACTTAAGTACATGTTTCTGGTATCAGTGCTTTACTCCACTACTTATTTTTCTGACGACTTTTTACTTTGACTTCTTACATTTTTAACACAAATACCTGTAATTTCTACTTCTTACATTTTCAAAACAGGCTGCTTACTTGTTGTGTTTGGTGGCCTGATCATTATTATTTAGTCATCTATTGATTTGAACACAATCCGTGTATCCATCATTTCCTGGTCTTCTCTAAAGAAGAGGGACCAATGAGAACGTTGTCATGTTGCCGTTGTTCAGCATGGAAACATTCATTAGCTAACAATGACATTATTGTTCTATTAATATAAAGGGAGGTCAGGTACTCTTTAAAACAGTTGGTGGTTATGAGTACTTTTTACTTAAGTACATATCGAAGCCCTCTTTACTTTTTACTTGAGTAAAGAACTTTAGTCAGTACTTTTTACCAGAGTATTTTTTAAACATGAGTATCTGTACTTCTACTTGAGTAAAGGATGTGTGTAGTACTAGTTACGTCCTTCAGAAATCCTTATGTTTTATTTTTTTTACATTCTTGTTATTTAGAAAGCAGCAGATGTATATTTCAGGTACATACAGAACTCTTTCCTCAATATCACATGGAGTGAAACAACAAATAAGTGTGTGTTCTGTGTGTTGCAGGTACGGGTAAACTGGGCTTCTCCTTTGTGAGGATCACAGCTCTGATGGTGTCCTGCAGCCGGCTCTGGGTGGGAACAGGAAACGGCGTCATCATCTCCATCCCGCTGTCTGAAGGTAACACACACCTGCACCTTAGTTTTCAGAAGGATTTATTTTAAAGTTAATGTTCAAATAGGTATTTACTGAATACACGTGTGTGCTTTATGAACTGGACTTCCTGTGCAGTTCGACTAAATATCCCTTTCTTTTAAAGAACTTGTTGTTTTTCTCTTTCCTTCCAAATGATGTTTGACTTTTGGGAAGAAGCTGTTGTTTTTCATTCATTTTAAGTTTTGGCAAAATGTGACAATGACACTGTGTGGCTAATAATGTGCTAGTTATGCTTATAGAAACAATAACAGCAAATTGACACAAACCTACAGGCAGCTCTGCTCACAACCCTGCTTTGTCTTGTTTTAAGGATCAGTGTCACGATAAATATGTCTGTGTGAGTGTGTGTTTGTGCTTCCTTGTCCTTCTTGTATTATATATAATACAATAATATCCTTCGTATCCTGCAGCCAATAAGACAACGGGAATAGTGCCAAATCGTCCCGGCAGTGCTGTGCGGGTTTACAGTGATGACGGTTCAGACGGTGCCGTGCAGGGCAGCTGTGTGCCGTACTGCTCCATGGCTCACGCCCAGCTGTGTTTCCACGGACACCGAGATGCTGTCAAGTTCTTTGTCACCGTGCCAGGTAAGCAGCAAGTGCAAGTGACAGAAACTGTGAACAACACTGCATAATTATTAACCATAAACCATTGAATATTGCCTGCAATGTGCATCAGATAAGATCTTACAAACCAATAGGCAATTTATTTATGTTTGTGGAGCTGCATCGATAAATACAATCTGATCAAATCTATTCTGCCACCATTTTGAATAATGGTAAATGTCTGCAAGCAAAAAAAAAAGTTTGTTGCAACTTCTCACATTTTAATCATTTGTGTTTTTTCTCTGTTTTATAACATTACAAATTAAATATCTACGGGACTTCCACTGTTTATCAGATCAAACAAGACATTTGAAGACGTTATCATGGATGTGTTTTTTAACTACTTTGACATTTCATATGATAAACCAAGAAAATATGCACATGAATTGATCATGAAGACAGTTGATCAATTCCAGCATATAATCACCTTTTATAATGCAAATGATCCTGTCAATGATTGATGCTGTTTATGTAGTAAACAGGGCCGATGCTTTGGGATCATAGCTTCCTCATTACTGTAAAAAGAAAACTTACTTTAATGTCTTTTTTATTAGTGTAATTTTTTTTGTTTTTGTGTCACAGGTCAGGCGATGCCCCCTCCCGGCAGTGCAGATTCGGGCTCTGATGAACCCCCCTCTGAATCCTCGGACACAGCAACCTCTGAGCCCAAAACCTTCCTTGTGATGAGTGGAGGAGAAGGGTACATTGACTTCAGAATGGGTGAGTATGTCACAGCATTAACGAAGTATATACACAAGTTGCATTTCCTTTTGGTTTAATCCTAAATATTAACGGTTGTATCAGAATCTACTTTAACAATAATGTTTACTAGACTACTTTTTGACTTAAAGGTCACCTATTATGCAAAATCCACTTTTTCATGTATTTTATACATAAACATGTCTCCCCTCTGTGTTAAGAGATTCTGAAAGTTTCAGGAAAAAAGATTCTCTCTCTTTTTGTCCTGATCCATTTCTATAAAAACCTGTCTGAAAATGAGCTGATCAGATTTTGACCACTTTATGATGTCATAACGATTTTTTGGCTTGTGTAACCATTAGCCAATCACCAACCAAGGTAACCCCACCCCCACACACTTTATCACCTGAACCTCTTAGAGCACCATTGTGTTATTTTTAACCAAATATCTCTCAGAGGGGCGTGGGGAGGGGCTCCTTATTTTCATCTAAAGTAACAGACACAGAATCAGCACTGAAAGCTGAAACAGAGGGGATTATGGGATGCTGCAATGATCTGTTTGGTGTTTCGAGCCAAACACTTCAGAGACATGTTTTGTATATATCTGAGACCTATAATATATTGGTGAAAAACAGTATGATAGGGGACCTTTTGAAGCTAATTTAGCTGGTGCATAGAGACTACACATCTCCACTGTTATGCCGTTTGATTGACACATCGTCCTCCTCCCCTCTAGGTGATGAAGGCGGGGAGTTGGACGGTTTATCAGAGCCAGCAGCCAGCCAGCAGTCTCCGCCCACCAAGGTCGAGCGGAGCCACCTCATCGTCTGGCAGGTGTCAAACTCTCTCGATTGAAGAAATAATAATCACAGACTGTTGGGCCGCCCACCGAACCCCTGCATGTCCTCTTCCAAGTTTTTAATTTGATATTACTGATTGTTTTTCATGCCTGAGTAGTTGAATACTTTGTAAAAAAAAAATATTTTTAGTCCATGTTTTGTACGGTTTATTCTTTATGAGTTTGAATGAGTTGTGGTGAGGCTTGTGTTAACTTAAGGAATCCGTCCGAGTGTTCCCCGCTGCTGGGTCGCATGTTGGAAAAGCCGGTGCACTCTGGGAAAAAGCTGAGTTGGCGCAAAGAAAGCGGTGAGCATAGTTTGATCAGGTAATGAATGGAAGTCGTTTGTTTCCCAAATGTTAAAAAAGGGATCGATATGGAAAGTAAAAGGGAAAAGCGCTTTAAAAAAAAAAAGGGAGAAGAAAGTTGAACTGAAGTATATTTTATATTGAACACATAGAATTTTACATTTGTAAAACATTGTCTGTGTGAGCTTCAGGTGTGTGTGTGTGTGTGTGTGTGTGTATGCAGTCAATGAGCATTTTTATTATCTTAACCATTACGGCTGGGCGTCAAAATATGTTCCCTACAAGGTCAAATTTCAATTCTCTGAATGTGTTTTCTAAGGCTGATTACGGTACTCTACTGTATGGTCTGATTACTAGAAAGCAGCTTGCACGTACCAGTGGTAAATTAAATGTGCTTTTGGTCAGCAAAAGTGCTTAAACATCTTGAGAGGTCGTATTAATATTGAATGAAACCAAGTCCTATTGGCCACTGGTTTGTTTTTAATCACCTAAATAATGTCTTAGCAGTTTGGGCACTGCTACTGAAAACAATAACCATCTCACTGTAGCGCAGGTTAGCATTAGCCTGCATGGGGGGAACCATTTCAAACTATACTCCTGTTTGTCGTGTTAGGGAAAATCTGTCCGTGCCACCAGCTTGGTGCTTCAACTCATTGGCACTTTAAAATGTAAGTTGATGTTTGGAAGAATACTCATAGTTTTGTACGCTATAAACCACTATGTTCTAATCATGTGAAGGAAACTAATGTACAAACTTGTAGCACCCCAGTACCCAAAGGAAGAAAGAAGAAGCACCGTGAAACTGACTTATAATTTGATTCATCATTCCAACCTAAAACGTATTCAATAATTGAAGGGTGTTGTTTTCAGGGTGTCATTTTACTGGGAAATAAGCTTGAATAATGAAATCTGACTAAACATTTTTTGTGTGGCACCTTCTAACGGACATGCGCACAGCACTAAAGGGAGACTTCCTGATTGCTTCATCATTCCTTGTTTTGTTGTTACAAATGCATTTGAAGGACTGGAAGGTAATTCATTGTTTGTGTTTTGTATTCATGCGTAAGACACTTTTATTTGCAAAATGTCAATATAAGTAGGTGTTTTAATTGTTTTTTATATTTTAAGTTGGACCAAGATTGGTCTCCAGTCCATTTTAAAATAGTAACTTTCTATTTTGTTGTTGCCATTCCAGTATTTATTTCCTTTGTTGACGAGCCTACCTTGGTTCAGAATGTAACTTTCTACATGAGCAAAATAGGCTATTGTAAAAAATAATAGTCAGATGGGTTTGAATGATTGTTAATAATGGACAAATAAACAATTTCAATGTAATCATGTTGGACATTTTTGACAAACCATGACATAAAGTGTGCAAACAATAGTTTTCCGATCAAGATTCATGTACTAAGCTATGCATGTTTTGTTTTTTGTGTTTTTTTAAAAAGAGGACACTGTTTTCAGCTCAGTCTGTGTATTGCCACCGTTTTGGGTGGTGTTTGTGTGTACAGTACATGTGTACATGTAGGAGTTTGAACGCAGGACACAATTTCCAGTGTGTGTGTTTGATTTTGAAATGTGCGGTGTATGTGTGCTCACTGTTTGTCCATCTGTAATACTCCAGAGACTAGTCACACTAACCTGGTGCCTCTCTGGACGCCATAACAGTGATTCCTCCTGGTCAATGTTTGCTAAAACAGCATCATAGCCTTATTTTTAACAATCTATTAAACTCAGTTTCATGGAGACATTTCTGTGATCATGTGTTTCATTGAAGAAAAAAATACGGTTACTACGAAGTGGGTCGAAGGTGAAATATTATGTTTTTCTTCTCAGGTTCATACTTTACATGTTTGAATGTTCACAAACCAGAGGCCTGCGTCAACACTGTCATACCATCTGATATACTTTACTGTGGCATACTATGCTATGTGTTCTTTATGACGTTTTTTGACATACTTTAAAAAAATGTTTTGAGCGTTTTAATGGCTTTTTCTTTTATCGGACAGTTTACATATATTTGAGGTTCAGTTTATCTACACCCGTAGGCAGATAAAAGACAAGGATCCATTGTGGCACACATTTTAATAACAACACAGACAACAAACCTTTCTGGCAGGTCGCAGTGTGCAGGTTCACCCTTATTTATTATTATTTTATGACCTTTAATGAAATACTGTGGCTTTTTATTGCTTACTATACCAAAGCCTTTTATATGGTTTTTTTTTTATTAAAAAAAAAAAAAAAAATCTTTTTTATAGAATACTATAATATGACATGACTGTTGGGTATTGGTAGGCGCTCCAGAAACCCAAATGTATCTGCACAAACACAAATGTGAGTTGAAATTGTATTTTTTAATCAACTACTACATTAGTAATGAGGTCTTATGAACACCAACATTTAGTGTTTTTGTCTTTTTTAAAGGTTTTAATCTGGCGGAGCTCTATCGGGAAAAGAAGATTTAATAAACTTTCTTGCACCAATCAAGATTTGATTCAGATTGAAGCCATCTACCGAATGTTAAGCATTTAATATATACTAAACCTAAACTTATGACATTTCATCATAAAAGGAAAAGTTGAACATTCCACTTTTCTTCCTTCAACACGTCCTCAGTAACTGCATGCCATTTACTGGGTGTCTTATGTGCTTATCTGAAGAAATATTTGTGACACTAACTAAAATCCATCCCACTACCTACTGTACAGGCCTAAGGACGAATACTCAGTTCAGATTTTAAGATAGCTCATTGCTTAAACTGACAAGTCACATTGTAATGCTAACAATTTAAAAACACAAGAGGTGTACCCATATCACCAGCGGATGGCGCTATAGGTTCATTTTCCAAAATTGAGTGTCCTCTCAGTTCCACAGCGGTCACATTCAGATAAGATTATCATCTCGGTAACAAAGGACATAATGCCTTTTGTGGAATGTCAGGCTTCATTATGGGCAAGGCTTTTATGTTCCATCATCTCGTTACAGCTTAAGTAAACTCATGTGATTATTAGGTTACACAACAATCAAAGAATTGGTACACTGAATGAAACTTCCACGCAATATGTTCAACATTTGCTCTCAATATTCAATATAGCATATGTAAACTGTTTGAATAAGATATGCTTGTTGATGCCCAGGATGAGGAAACACTGCTGCTAAATTGAAGGAGGCAACACGAACGTATTGTCCCGGTCAGACACACTGTGCTGTGCTCATCTTTTCTTCAGCCGGTAGGAGGCTGTGTCGCTCAATGCTGCTGTAAGATGCAGCATCACCACACAAAACAGTTTCCATCAAATTACATCACAGCGTAAAGCCCACCTCCGTCCCTCCATCCCACCTCACCCACTCCTCCTCCGCCATGCGTGGGCTGGCGGTGAGGCCTGCTCACACATACAAAGAGCTTTCTGACGTCACAGAGTGAGTTGCAGTCCAGATGGGGGATTCTTGAGACTCTGAAATGCCAGGCATGTGCTGCATTTCAGCTTGGATGGGAGAACTGATCCTAACTTCCTGTGTCTGTGTCTGATGGAGGGGAAGGGGACAAAAAGTACTTTCAGTTACAGATTGTAGATCCATTTTTAAACAGGAGTTTGAAAGCCTCGGCTGATGTTGCCGTCTTCAGATTCAAAGGCAGGGAGACCTACAGTTTGGATGATCCATTTTATAAAGATGAAGCAGCGAGATTCAACTTTTATGGCTACTTTACATTAATGTTGCAGGGATAACAAAAACAAGTTTGAAATGGCTGTGTCGCTGCTCTTTATGCTAACTGTTTAGCATGGAGCTTTACAGGGACACAGATAACAGTAACATGAGCCAAACAGGCCCCAATATGTGGAGGAGAGTTAAACTGTTACTCCCTGATGCCCTCTGTGTGTCACCCTCTGTCTTCAGATCCATAAAGCCTCGTCAAAAAGAAACTATTATGAGGAGCCTTGCTCTCTGTTGCTAAAAAAAACCATACTTCACTCATCATGAGGAGGTCCCTTTTGTGTTCTTTCTTAGTTTGATGAAGTGGGAGTTTCATCTATGGTTCTTAGCTTGGTACACATCAGTGACAGGAAGAGAACTTCAAGGAGAACAGGAACTTTTCTCCAGAAGAAAAGAAGAATGAGTTGTTGTTTCTCTCATAACATGTTGTGTTCTGACCAAAAGTACCTTTTATGAAAGCAGTTTGTTTATTTTCAAGGAGGCTGTATTCTTAAATAGCTGTGTAGCAGTTTGTTGAGTCTTTTTGGCTAGTGGTTAAGCAGGCTGGGTGAAAGCAAAGTGGGGAAGGTGAGAAATCCAAGTGGTCTATAAACAGTTGTTGAAACGAAAATGGAAAGGATGAAGTTAAAAGAGAGAGGGGGCCCGGCAGATTATACTGGAGTGGAAAATATATACATATTATCAGGACTCCCCCCTACAGGATGTGCAGCTGGAAGGCTTGGTCAACAACAACTGTGTGTGTGTGCGTGTGCGTGTGCGTGTGCGTGTGTGTGTGTGTGTGTGTTTTATATTTACCCAGACTCAAAAGTATTCTTCCTGCAGGCTTGAGGAGAGAGATAGTGTAGTATTTTGTTTGTATTTAGTACATTTGAATTAAAACATGTTCATCATGTATATTAATGTATATGGATACAAGTCTAACAAGTGACATGTAATGTAATGTAATATGTAACACTGACTTTCTGAACACAGTCAAGGCTCTTCTTCATGTGTTTACATTTCCAGATAGCCCTCTGCTGCTTGCTATAGATACAGCAGCTACAGCAGCATAAAGCCAATTACTGCTACACCAACAGAGTGAAGCTTTTTAATCTAGAAGATTATAATATTAGAAATGCTTTTCTTTTACATCCAAAAAATGGCAGAAAAATAGCTTGAATGGCCTTTAACTCTTATAATGAGCTACAATATCCTTACAAATAGCATTGGTGTCTTTTCGTTTAGAAGACAACAGAACAGTCTGTGTCTACAGTGTGTGCCTTTGACCATAAATGTGTGTCCAAGTGTGTGTGTGCACCTATGATGGCGTGTATGATTTAAAAGCTTCCCCCGGCCCCGGTGAGAGCGCCCTTGGCCCTCCCATGGAGGTGCGCAGTATTTCACCGTGATGGGTTGGGCTAAGCATTTTCTGAGCCAATACAGCACCGCA